CTCTCTCTCTCTCTCTCTCTCTCTCTCTCTCTCTCTCTCACCTCGCTTTACTCTCACCACCTCTTTCCGGCAGCGTTGCATGCCCCGTGTATCGGGAGACGTGTCGATACTGCTTCGATGGTGCCAAGGAATGATGCCCGTGATATCGGGCCGGGGGCGGCAGCAGCAGCAGCCGCCGCCATTCGCCGCTCTGCCGAGGCGGGGGCGCGAGGGTGCGAAACTCGACTGCGGACAAGTTTGGACGTTTTAGCAGGATGATACATTGAACACTAACCATAAAACAACTAATAATTGTGATAAGTTTCTGTCAGCTATGGCTTGTCCTGTCAGACGGCGAGGAGCGAAAAAAAAAGTAGGCCAGCAGAGATATGAGGGCTCAGTCAGTCCGTCCGTCGCCGCGCCGCCCGCGCCCAAGCGGCTTAGAGAGAAGGGCGGCGGGGGCGAGGAGCCCCATGGCTCGTGGCTCGTGCTACAAAACAGATTTTCCAAATTTAAGGCGATATGGGGCAAAATGTTCTACTTCTTATTGTGGTACATTCTTGTAAGGGTGACAGGAAAATTTTTCATGTGTCGTGAAATTACTATGTATCGACGTGGAATTCATTGACGAACAAGAATGGGATGTCACGCGTCATAAATTTAAAACATGTTCTGTAAACCGTAAATACAAAAAATGTCGTATATTTACAAAGATATTTTCCACGCACATACCTCCGCATATCTTTGCGTCGGTATTAGGCATGGAGCGAAAAGAAAATCTTGGATTTGTCTCCGACCGCTTTCACGATACTTTCTTTGACAGAATTTCTTTTAGAGACAATTTTGTCGGCGGTCGCCGCGCGCTCCCCTCCTGGGGATGACGGAGCCATCGACCCTTTTGGAGGTCGGCCAGCGGGGCGGGGGGAGAGGGGGGGTTGCAGGGAGGTCCGAGGGGTTATCTCGATACGCCTGGAGATGCCATAAAGCAGAGGCGCGAGCGTCCGTGCCAGCGGGGTCGCCGGGGCGGGCGGGGCCTCGGAGGTGAGTGATGGCGGAGGGGAAAGTGTTTACTGCCTATGGAATGACGACTAACGACACGCCCGGGCTGAGAGTGCTACTGGAGGCTTCGGAGGCCGCTGCCCAAGGGCTTACATCGTCCGCCCATAGTCGCACCCCCGCCCTTTTCCTCTGTGCGTGCGTCACACAGCTCTGCATTCACATTCAGATGGCGATTGCATGCAGCGCGGCGTCCGCATTGCGACGGAAGTCGCCCCCGCCGCGGTGCTGTGTGAGGGATAGGGATTGGCTCGGCCGCGGACACGGACAGGACGGCGACAGCGACACCCGTGATTTACATCCCCCCAGTCGCGCGGCGCGGCCTCCTTGACGGCGTCCCTGACGAGGCCCTCGGTGACCTGGATTGGCTCTGACTTTCTCATCCTGGACTCGCTCTCTCTCTGTTGCAGGCGGAGGCTATGAGGCGCGGGCCTGACCGACGAGGCCGGGACTGGGCCGGCGGTGGCGGCGGCCGACTCCCGCAGGAGGAGGTGCCCTGAGCACGGCCTCTGACCGCCCCGTCCAGGCCACCATGAACAGTTCTGGCGGAGGCCTGCTGGACCCGTACAACGGCACCGGCCACGGCCCCGGCCTCGACCTGGGCCGCGACCCGGGCGAAGTGCTGTTCCAGTTCGTGACGGAGGGCGTGGTCCTGAACTGCGTGGGGCTGCTGGGGCTGTTCGGCAACCTCATCTCTATGATCATTCTGTCGCGGCCGCAGATGCGCTCCAGCATCAACTACCTGCTTATCGGGCTGGCGCGCTGCGACACGGTGCTCATCGTCACCTCCATGCTGCTGTTCGGCCTGCCCGCCATCCACGCCTACACCGGCATGCTCTTCACCTACCAGTTTAAGGTGAGCCACCGCCGCGGTGCCACTCACCACAGACACGAAACATGACCACATTGATTGGAGAAATTTAGCTACTTTCGAATAGCAATTTTTAATTGTAATTATCGTGGCTATTATGCATCTAACCATTATTGCTGTGCAACCCGAATAGTTCAGCCATAGAAGTAGCTTTCTGATGAACCTTAATATTTTCTATACGCAAATGAATTTTTCTCTGGATGTGTGAAAAACAATTCAACGGGCGTATTTTTTTTCACTAAAATAATAAGAATTTACCAGGTTCGGGTGGTAACAGGAATTTCTGTCACAGGTGTACCCCCACATCGCGCCCGTGGTGTTTCCCCTCTCCGTCATCGCTCAGACCGTGTCCGTGTACCTGACGGTCACCGTCACCCTGGAGCGCTTCGTGGCGGTGTGCCACCCCCTTCAGGTGAGTACTGTAGGACTGAGATAGATGCGAAGTCCCGAAGTGAACACAAACGTCATGCAGCTCTCTCTTTCCTTTGCAGGCGAGGTCCTACTGTACGTACGGCCGCGCCCGGATATACGTCCTAGTCACCATCATCTTTTCCACGCTTTACAACGTCACCCGTTTTTTCGAGGTAAGTCATACCTGATCTCGTCCTACCCTTCGTGCTAAGCAATTCCTCGCCGTCTCCGGGACGGCCAGAGATCTCCCGCCATTTCTCACGAGTGCCGCATCCATAAACTATTACCGCGTTCCCGTCATATCGGCGCAAAGGCCGTGAGCTGTAGGCTCTCCAGAGGAGGAGGGAGGTCCGCGGCGCCGCGCCGCCCCGCCCCGCCCCGTCGCTCGGAGGCTGGCAGTCGTTCATCAAACGCGGAAGGATCATCACATTGCTCGCAGACGCGCGGGTGAAAAATGCTCCCCCTTTTCCCTCTTCACGGCCGTGTAGGACGCGACCCTGCCGAGAGGAGCGGAGCGGGAGGGGCCGTCAGCGCCTCTCCTCTGTAGGCCCGCCGGCCAGGAGCACGCGCCGCGCGCCACCGCCCGAGCCCTCTCCTGGCTGATATATACGTCTGCCATAATTATTTGCGCCCGTGCCTATTTTTTGCTTCCTTCCTCCTTGCCGTTTTCCCTCATTTCCACCGGCAGGGCCTATGGTGTTTGCAGCGCAACGCTAAAGGCTCCCCGGGAGGATAAGGATCTAGAGGCTCGCAGCATGTAGCCGGGCGGGGCGGGGCGGGGAGGAGGCAGAGGCGGAGGCGGAGGCAGAGGCGAGGAGAGGCGGGCGAGCGGGACGCGTGACGGATTGCCCCTGATTGATAGGGGCAGCCAATCCCCCTGCTTCCTGCCCCTCACAGCCCAGGGCGCACTGCTTGCTCGCCCCGCCCGCCCTGCAGGGGCTATCTGCCCAGATCCTCGTTAGCCCGGGGGCGCACTCAAAAAAAAAAAGAATCATTGTACCAACGACATGAGTTGTACCTCCAACAACATTTTGTTCTTGGAATGGCTTCAGCGAAACATAGGATGCTATTCCAACGACCATGGTTGCTGGCTCAACGACATGGTCGGTGGCACAACTACCGGTTGTCATGGGGTTAGCAATATCGTGTCTTTGGACCAACAACCCGGCCGCAAGAACACGACGGTCGTTGGAACAATGATTCTTTTTTTTT